AAGAAGGCAAACGAGTTGGGTTACTTTCTGGGGCCTTATCTAGCAAAACATAGAGTCTAAAACAATGTTCCAGGACAGGAATGTGATGGCTGGATGATGAAAGCATAAGAGACTTCCTTGAGATGATCTGAGGGTTTCAGGATTCAGCATTGTCATAGCAACATTACCACCTTTCTGTCATTGTAATTAAATGCTATAGAAAAACGTGAAAAGGAGGAAATATTTATTTTGAGTCACAGTTTCAAAGGATTCAGCCATGGTTACTTGTTTCCATCATTTCAAGCCTTTGTGTGCGGCAGAACATCATGGCAGAGAGTGTAGGGTAGAGGACAGCTCCTCATGGCATGGTGGTGTGGAAGAAGAGAGTGAGAGATTAAGACAGAGTGAGAGAGAGGAGGAAGAGGAGGAGGAGAAGGAGGAGAAGAGGAGAGGAGAGGAGGGAAGGAGAGAAGAAAAGAGAGAGGAGCCAGGGTCACAATATATACTATTCAATGATCTACTCATTCCAACTAAGTCTCAGTTTCTGAACTTTCTGCCACCTTTCAATAGTGCCATTAGCTTGGAGACACTTAAAACTCAAACAATAACAAGCATGTAAAGAAATGTAGGAAACAGAGGATGAAGTTAAGTGCATGCTAAGCATGTCCTCTACCACAATAGCATCCCTAAGGGGAGGTTTGAACAAGAGCCGTGCAAGTTGAGAAAGTACAGTCTGCTTAAAATAAGCATAGGTAGTATTCATAGGGTTGAGGTTAAACTGAAAATTAATTTGGATTTTTTGGGGTAGATATTCTGGCCTTTATGTTCCTTATTTGCAAGATGAGCTGTTAAAATGTTTAACTGACAAATAAAGATTGTATATTATCAAGGTATAGCATGTGATGATTAAATGTGTACACTGTGTGATGATTATCACAAATTAACACACCCATCACTACTCATGGTGCACATTACTCAGAAATTATTCACTTGTAACTTAAAGTTTGTACATTTTGACCAACATTTCCTCATTGTACTCACCTCCTTGCTCTTACCAACCATCATTCTACTCTGTTTCTATGAATTTGACATTTTTAGATCCCATATATGAATGAGATCGTATTATATCTGCCTTTCTCTACCAGGCTTCTTTCACTTAGCGTATTGTTCTCCAGGCTCATCCATGTTGTCTCACATAGCAGGATTTCTCTTTCTTATAACTGAATAGTATTCCTCTTTATGTGTGTATATGTATATCACATGTTCTTTATTCGTTCATCTGTTGATGTACACTTAGGTTATTTCTACTGTTCATTATTGGAAATAATGCTGCAATGAACATGAATAATGCTGCAGGTATCTGTTCTACATACTGATTTCATTTGCTTTGTAATAATTTCTGGATCATACAGTAGTTCTATTTTTAAGTTTTTGAGGACTATCCATATTATTTCCCATAATAGGTGTATTAATTTATATTTCCACCAACAGTGTGCAATTGTTCTCTATCCCCATGCCCTGACCATATATTTTTAATTATTATTAATTTTATTGGTTCATTTTAAGTATGCAATATAATGACATTCATCATTGGAAATTTGCACCTTTACATAATCTCCCTTGGTTCTTATTTTTTTCTCCATTCCCCTGCCCTCCTTTCAACCTCTCCATCCCTCCCTATTTACAAAGACTTTCTTTCATTTTTTCCTTTTCTTGTGTTAATTCCATTCCCCTTTCCTTTCCCATATCTCTCCCACTTCCCCTTCCCCTTTGCCCCTTTTCTTCCTATTTCTCATTATCTATTATACCTTTTAGTCCTTATTTACACTTTCAGTTTCTCACAGCATAGAAACTATAGGTTATCTACACACATGTGTCCAATTTATTTCACTTAAGAGTATGTGCATCCTCAATGTGCATCCATTTAGCTATAAATGTCTCTAATTTCTCATTCTTTCATTTTAGTTTTTTAATTTGTTTTGTACTGGAGATTGAACTTGGGACTTTGCTCTTGCGAGGCAGGCGGCAGCACCACTGAGCTAAATCACCAGCCCTTATTGTCTTTGAAAATAGCCACTTTAACAGACATAAGATGATGTCTCATTGTGGTTTTGATTTGAATTTCTCTGATGATTAGTGATTGATTAGTGATAATAAGCAAGTTTTCATATTTTTATTGCCATTTTTTAAGAACTGTCCACTCAAGTTCTTTATTCAATTGTTGTTGTTGTTGTTGCTATTGTTGTTGTGTATATGTGTGTGTGGTGCAGGGGATCAAACTCAGGGTATGTGCATTCTAGGCAAGTGCTCTTCCACTGAGCTACATCCTCGGTTCTTTTACTCATTTCATATATTTTTTCTATTGAGATGTGTGAATTCCTTATACATTTAGAACATTAATCCCTTATTACATATATAGCTTCCAAATGTTTTCTCCCATTCTGTAGAATGCCTTTCATTTTGTTAACTGCTTCTTTTGATGTACAAATGAACTTTTGTCATAGCTTTTTGCCCTCTTTCACATTTCCATGAGAAAGATCAGAGATTGTTTATCTCCCAGTGGTCCCAAGGCATTATTATTACTTGCTAAGATGGGGTTTTTGCCCTTCTCTGAGCTCAAATACCCACATACACTCCTAGGTTCCTCAGCTTAGACAACTTTTTCAGCCTCCCTCTGTAATATGAAAATCAGATGGCTGAGACATCATATGGTGGCAATGATGAAAGATTATTAATGTTACACAAACTGCAATGATGTTTTTCAGAAGGAACAAAAAACATATTCTAAGAACAGTTTAGAATTAATCATTTGCCTGTGTTCTGAGGCTTTGCAGAAATGGGCTTGGGTAGTAGAAGTGGAGCTTTCAGAGAAGTCCATGATTTATCTATCTATCAGCAGCTGGTGAGGCAGAGCTTCCCTGGAAACCTTATAGCCCTGTTCAAACTTATCCAGGTCAGTAAGGAACAGGCAGCCAGCTGCTTCTATCTATATGCTTTTGTTCTTCTTCCTAGTTTGGTTTTTACCTTGCTAATAGCAGAATCCATTGTTGTGGTTCCCAATGAGTGACTCTCGATGGATGGGAAATATCTGAGGCTACAGGGAAGAGGAAACTGAAGAATAAAAGGGAATTGTTCTTTCCAATCCAATATGATCTCTTTGTGGTGATACTTTACAATAGTACACATGAAACCCGCACCCCTCACTGCACTGTAATAGCTTACCTGCATTTTCTATTCATTACACCAGTATTCTATTAATGAGAAAACAAATGTCATTATGAAAACAACCAGGTTTAGGAACACAGTTTATTTACACATTTCTGTGCTTTCCATATTATCTTATGAAAAAATATGGCATTTTTAGAACGAGAAAAATGGAATAGCTATCCAATATGGGTCTGACAAGTAGGATTATAAATCAATTTTCCCTTTCTCTTTAAGAAAAAGAAGGGCCGGGGGTTTAGCTCAGTGGTTCTGGCGCCTGCCTCACAAGCGCAAGGTCCCAAGTTCAATCTCCTGAACTCCGGTACCCCCCCAAAAAACAAAAAAAACAAGAAAAAGAACATTTTCAAGAACTCTTTCATACTCACTAAAATTTGTATTCTCTGCATTATTTTATATTTATATAATTAAAATTTAATTGTGGGTGAGGTTGTTCAGTTGTCAGGCATACCCAAAGTATTTGAGACTATGTTCACTTTGTCAAAATCAGTGACAAGTTCAGTAAAGACAAAGAGGATTCTTGTAGTTTCTCCTGGACAACAGAATTCTAGGAGCTCTGTTTTATTTTGTTCATCTTCTCTGCTCCTACATAGCCCCAAGTTGATATCATGATAGGCTTTATTTTAAGACGTTTCACCCACAAACAAGAGCAGTAAAAAAGTCTATTGTGCCTCTGTGTTTTAGGTTGAGTTAAATGTGAATCGTTCACAGTAGAGAATTAGGAGCACATTTAACATTGGGTCAGACAGATAATTGAATCCATCAGTGTGATTAGTAAAACCAGTTCCCCAGAAAATCAGTTCATTCTCTACTCACCGCTTTAGGGGTTTTTGGTCTTTTCTTGGTATTTTGTATCTCTTATTCTGCATTTCAATTTTGTTGTAAAAAAGGTTTTCTGTCATTGCACTGATGTTTATGTGACTATCAGATCCTTAAGAGGTGATGGTGATTCGGGATTGCCTCTAGTTGAGAATTTATCTCCCAAGAGGTAATTTAAACCTAAACTGATAGCTTCTTTGGGGCTGGAGAAACTGCTCCTTGACACACTGTTCTTCAGTAAAGCTGGAGGAGAAAAGCATAATAGGAAGAAGACATCATGGAGGAGAGAATCAAGGGCCTTTTAAAAATGGATTTTCTTCACACTTTTATCCACAGTTTAATGTGCAAACAGGGTCTATTCATTCTCCTTCCTAATGAATTGTGACAAAAGCCCTACCCAGTTCCTAGAAAGGGGAGGGGAGATGGAGGGAGGAAACAAGGAAGGAGAGAGGGAAAGACCGAGAGAGGGAGGGAGGAACTGTCATTAGAGGAAAGAAAAGACACAGTACAATTCAGAGAGTTCTGCTAGGGAAAAGCATGTGAAATCCTGTTGATTCATAAAGGACCACCCAGCCAGAATGCAAGAGGAAGTTAAGCATGACCCAAGTCTCCTCAGATGTTCTTTCAATCATGCCCTACTCGCAGACAGGGAAACCATAGCAGCTTTTGAAATAACATGACTTCAATGAAGACCTAGAGGTTTTTATTGGTCCATAAGACAAATTACTGAAGAAGAATGATCTTTTGCCTCAATTGCTATTTACTTATTTAAATTTACTTAATTTTTTTTTTTGGTTTTTTGAAACAGGGTCTCACTTTGTAATTCAGGCTGGCCTTGAACTCACTATGTAGCCCAGGCTGGCCTTGAACTTGCTGAGATCCTCCTGCCTCAGCCTCCCGAGTGGAGTGCTAACAGATATGTGCCACCATGCCCAGCTAATTTTTTTGAGATGGTCTATGTTGCCCAGGCTGGGCTTGAACTTTGAACCTGAGATGTTCCCACTTCAGCCTCTCCAGTAGCTCGGATTATAGACATGCACCACCAGACTGGCTAACATGTGGAGGAGTGCACAGGATTCCCCACCCTCATACCAAGGGTTGAACTCATGGCCTCATGTATGTTAAGCAAGGACTGTATCACTGAGTTATACTCCCAGGCCCTCCACCTCTAATTTGTGATGATGCTACTTTTCTGGATAAACATTAAAACTTCTCTACTGGACATGGTTGGAAAAAATAAGAATTCCTGTGCTTGAATATTTGGGGTAGATAAGGAAAGGAGTTGGAGCAGTCTAAGCAATTCTTTCTAGTCTCCCTCCAAAGTTAAATCATTAATCAATGGCTCTGTTTTTTTTTTTGTTTTTTTTTTTTGGTACTGGGGATTGAACTCGGGTCCTTGTGCTTGTGAGGTAAGCAGCAGAACCACTAAGCTAGATCCCCGGCCCCTAATGGCTCTGAATTAAAGAGAATATTGTTCAATTTGTTGGTGACCTCATAGACTGAGTGACATGAGTGGTGAGTACACAGGAGAAAGACGGGGACCAAAGAGGACAAGTACCAAACTGGAATTCTGAAAATCATTAAGGAACCATTTGGTAAATCCCTGCCCACTGTATGGCTTAGAAAAATGAGTGACCTGGAGGTATACGTTTTCTCATTCAGATTTTGAGTACTAAATGGTAGAATCACACTGGTAGAAACTGTCATGCTTTGAGGTAGAGACAATACTTCCTCATCATTTAGCTATCTGCTTTTCACATTTACAGATAACCTGCCTAGGATACTTAACTGGAACACCAAGAATAGATAAACAGAGTTAACAAAGGAGTTAACCATGTCAAGCCTGTAACTAGCCTGCCTGGGTATCTTTTTCATAAATCAAAAGTATTTTAAAGGCAGTGAAGTGTTCGTTGGAGAGGGAGGAAAAGGCAAATTAATTATGTCAACAAAACAAGAGAATAATAAACATCTAACACCATTGTTAGAAGGGAAGGTATAGGTTAACCTGGGCTCAAATAACTTCCTTCTCACCCATCAGTAGAACATTAGCTAAGATACTGAAGTGCTAAATTCATCAGATAAGAGATGTACTAAGATGTAAGATCCTCTGAACAATGAGGAAAGAAAATTGAAGTGAAAATTGCAGTCTCCACCTGCAAGAGACTTAAGTGAGATAAAGTGAAAATGTTTACAATGGAAGGAGAGAGAAAATGTGAAGAGGATGATATTTAATAATAAAGATAAAGCTGGAGACCTAGGAAGGGAAAAAGATGACAGGGCTAGGAATCTGGGCCTGGGGGTTGGGCAAAGCTTAGAGGAGCTTATCAGAGTCAGCAGGGACCCTGCTGAACACTGAGTCGACAATTGGTGTCAAGGCGGCAGCAGCAGATGTTTTACTGGAAGAAGAATGGTGGAATGATAGTCACAGGAGAGAGAACATTGTGACCTGCAGACAAGAGCTGTGTTTCATTGACAGCTGGACAAGAACACACACAAACAAGCCTAGGGAAAACACAGAGAGCTGTGTTCAAAAGCTGGTGGAGGGTAAGGGGTTGGGGAGGAGCAAAGACAGATGCTAAAGAACAGGTCTTTAGAGAAGGATTTGTGAGGAAGGTAACTAAGACTGTGAACTGAGAGCAATAAAACATAAAAGAACGGGAAATAATTCCCACCTGGTCAAAGGTGTGAGATCTGGGGCTTGAGTGCTTGGGTTCAAAACCTATTATACCCTAGCTGTATGATCCCAGATCAGTTACTGATCACCTCTTCCACCTTCAGTTTCCTCATTTCTAAAGGGGGACAGTAGTACTGCCTTCTGGAGTTGAGTGAGTTAGGATATTGCCTGGTGCAAGTGTTAGCAACTGTTGTGCTATGTGACCAGCCTCTGCAAGTGGCTCTGAACTGTGCAGAGTGCTTTGCACGTGCTTTCAAATCCTTCAACACCATCCAAAAGATAGTTTATGATGGTTGCAACATTGTATATATATATACATATATATGCATATATGTAGCATGGTTGTGGTTGAATCTTTTGTTAACTCTGTTTATTTGTTTTTGATGTTTCATTTAAGCATCCTAGGCAGGTTATTTGTAAATGTGAAAAACAGATAGTTAAATATCTGCCATATATATGGCAGCTGTCCTCCTTAAGGGCAGCATGCAAAGTGGTTAAGTAGAGGACAGTGGCAAGTCTTTCATGTTCATAATTACTTTGGGCAAATCATTTGCCTAGCCCATACACTGAGCCTATTTCTTACCTATAAAACAGGAGATATATAGGTAGATAGATAAGTAGCAAGATTTCTGTGAGAATAACCTCAAAAATGCCTGGAACACAGTAAGTTTCAATAAAAGGTTTCTGTGTGAATATGCCTTGTGATGCTGACAATGGGAGACAGGTCTAAAATACTTTCATCTGGGAAGGGAGACCCTAAGTGTTTTCACAGCTGCTAGTAGAGAGGCCTTGGATTAAGCTTTCAGCAGAACCTGGGAGAACAGAACTTTTAGATCACAAAGGAAATTGACATTTATCTTTTCCAGCTTATCACAGGTATGGACAGGAAGAAATATGACCACTTGAGTCTCTAACATGGATTGGTGGGATGGGGTACATTTTGCACTCTATCCTGTGGCTTTTCCTCCCTAAAGGAAGGATCTTACCAGCCTAAATGAAAGAGTCAAAAGGAAGAGGGTATCAGTATATAATTCTGGCTCCTGGTGCTACTGCCCTGGGACATTGCTATTTCTCTTCTATCCCAGGACACAGCTGGCTCTCTGGGTGGGCATTTGCTGCAGCTCTAACCACCTTGCTGGGAAGCAACCAATGCCTTATTGGTTAGACATCTAGCTCACCATTTAGGGCCATGATGAATTTGATGGAGGATACACTTTCCCCAAAAGCCTCCTGGTAAACATCTTCTCTCCATAACAGTTCTACAGGCCCTCCAAGATCTACTTTGTCTACAGCTCTAGCAAAAGAAAAGGTGAGGAACTAGACAATGTTTTTTTTCACTCCCTCCTCAAGAATACTCAGGTCTTTGTCAGTAGCAATGGCATTAAACAAGCTGCAAGTCTTTGACTCCATTCTTGGAGGAAGAGCATGAAAAACACCAAGCACCCAGCCAGCTGACCACAAGCACAAGTCCAGATCCAGGACCTCTTCAGAAATCGTTTCCTCCTTTTCTTTCCCATCTGCTCTGCTAGGGCCAACTGAGAAGTCGCTGGCAAATCTCAGAAATGTCAAACAATATTCAGGCTCCCTCCCCAGCAATTATTTATTAGAAAGGGGTTTTATGATACAAATTTGATAATCTCCCATGCACACTGGCACTGTTCTAATTGAAGTTGTAAACCCATAAAATTCAAGTCTTTTGTCTTCCTGAAGGCCACAAGGTTTAAAAAGATACTATTGTCCTCCCTAACACCCACTACATTGTCACCAGGGACTGATTAAACAGAGTCCTGAATCAAAACAGTGCGGATTTTGTCTAGGTCCTTTTCAGGCCTGACAATGCCCTTTTCAGTTCCCAAGACAAAAGGGGGTTTAAGCACCGAGATTCTTCTAAGATAATGGCATCCATATGGAAGGCAAGGTGGCTAGCAGCTGAGACCCAAGCACCCCACTCTTCCCCTTCTGCTGCCCCCCAAATCCCAGGTGATAACACTGCCTCCTCCTCTCCCTCCTCCTTGGACAGGAAACCCGAGGCCCATAACAGGCCCCTCACAGAGCTCTTCCGGGTCCCTGTTCCTATCGCTGGACACAGACCCTGGGAACTACTCTCCTCTGGCGCATCTTCCTGTAGCCGGTGCCAGGGAACGAGGCTTTTCCTTCTCCCCAGTGAATGCCTACATTGGAGATCCCATGGCTCCACATATAGACTTGAAGAACAACAGTTGCAAACCCCGAGTCCAGAGTGTCCTAGGAGCATGCGTGAAAGGAGGCGACTAGTGGATCCAGCCCGGCTGTCGGGTCACCAAGGCCATCATTCCTCATCAAGCTCCACAGGACGCCCCAAGGCAGAGCCCAACTCCACAGTTCACTGCCACCTTTCAATTTCCTCTTTAGGCTGTCCCCACCCCACCCTAGCCTGTCGAGGTGCTGTGTCGAGGAGACAGGAGGAGACGGGAAATCACAGCAAAGCCCGCTTAACTCAGGGTCCCAAGCTTCCTGGCTCTTCCGCCCCAGAGCGCTAGCTCCGCCGCACCCAGCTTCGCTAGCGCTCTCCTGGGGAGAAGTCAGTCTCTCTCTCTCTCTCGTCGTTGCAGCCGACCGGGTTGACTTTTGGTGTTTCCAACGCCCGCTGCTCCGGGAGCCGGAGCCGTCGGGGACCCAGGGTCACTCTGAGGTCAGAGTGGCTACTCGCTGGCCAGGGTCCCAGAGATTGCCTCAGCTCCCTCCCCTCACCCCTGTATCCTCCTGGCCCGAGCTCTGCCCTTCACCCCAACCGGAGCTCAACCCTAATTGGGCACTGGAGCGGGGGTGGGGGTGGGGGACTCAGAACTCCAGTCTAGGGAGCTCGGCGCCCACCTACTTCCCCGCAGGAGCGCAGGGGATCCAAACCTACACGCTTTATTCTCGCACAACAAAAAAAGAAAAATTACTCTATTTCTTTTAAAATATGCTTCCCATACAAACTGCTATTTAAAAAAATATACAGATAAGGCTCAAGCAATAAAATCTAGCTCTGGGGTTCGCAGTCCAGGGAAGGGGAGAGGGGGGATCTTGGGAAAGGTTCCCTGCGAGTGCTTCCGAGAGATAGCAGATAAGGGGGCCAGGGAACCCCGAAGGTGGGGCCTGCGAGAAGGGGTCTGGCTTCGGGGCACCCGGAGGGCTCCAGGTCTTTGGCTGCAACCGTACTGCAGCCGCACAAGCGAGCTCCAAAGTCAGGGTAACCCAGCACCCCCAGGTGGCCTCACCAGTTCCAGGAGACCAGGGTGGGGGGCGCTAAGTGCTGGTAGGTCGGGAAGATGCCGAGCGCCGAGCCCGGCCCGAAGGCGGCATAGCCTGGCAGAGGGCAGGCGGCGGTCGGGGGAGCGCTGCCCTTGCCCCGGGCCGCCGCGGGGCCCGACTCCTTGGCACCGCCGCACGGCTGGCCTTCGTGCACCAGCACGGGCACCACCACGCGGCGCAGCAGGCCGGGCGCGGGCCTCAGCTCGGCGGCCGCGCTCAGGTCCGAGGACTCAGTGGCCGGCGGCGCGCGCGCGCGCTTCAGCTTGTAGCGGTGGTTCTGGAACCAGATCTTGACCTGCGTGGGCGTGAGGCGCAGCAGGCGCGCCAGCTGCTCCCGCTCCGGCGCCGACAGGTACCGCTGCTGCCGGAAGCGGCGCTCCAACTCCAGCGTCTGCGCCTTGGAGAACAGCACCCGCCGCTTCTTCCTCTTCTCGGCGTCCGAGCCCGGAGACGCGGGCCGAGAGGACGCCCGCTGCGACGACTCTGGTGGGGTGGTCTCCAGGCTGCTCTCGTCCGAGGCTAGGAAGGGCAGAGGGGACGCAGCCTGGTGAGATGCCAACCCCTAAGGCGTGGGGGTCCAACAGGGCGGGCGCTGAGCCGCCAGCCGGAGGGCGCCGCCACTCGCACGCGGGTTTCAGAGGGAGGCCACTTCCTTCTTTGGGTTCACAACTGGGCACCCACCTCTCCGAATTCAGTGACCTCATTCTCAACCACAGCAGTAATCACCAGGCCTGAAATCGTACCCCACCAGAACCTACCCCAGGGGCTTCTCAAACTAGCCGCACTGGTAGCAGTGCTGGCTGCCCAGTTACTACCACAAGCTGGGCCACTTCCAGGTCGACTGCACCAGTTTGCCGGGATTTCGAAGCCCCGAATGGGAACATATAAGGGAAATGTTTTAACTATTCTGATCCTCAGCAATCCCCAGACGCGGAAACCCAAGCGCCTAGCACTAGTGCCAGGTGCAGGGAGCTACTCTCGGGATGCGCTGGCCTGGACGCGTGGCGTAGGGTTTTGAGGAGGACAGAACCTCCGTTCCCAGGCCAAAGAAATCCAGACTCTAGGCTGGGATCTCGCCTTTCCAGCCCCGCACGGGCCCGGTGCTGGGTTCTGCTCTCCCTCCACTCCCACCGCTGTCCTCCGTTCACTCACAGGGGTAATGGCCGGGCTCCGACTCCAGCCAGGCTGCGCAAGGGTCGGCCCGGGGCGCGCGTGACTGTGGCTCCCGCCTCGGCCGGTGCTGCGCGTCCTGCTCGGGTAAATTCAGGAGGCTGCGCACGGTGAAGCTGAGACGTCCAGAGGTGGCCATGGCCGAGAGGAGGGGAAGGAGGCGGGGGCAGGGCAGGCCGGGAACGGGGGGCGGCGGGGGACGCTGCTCCTACGGATGGACGTGAGAGGCGCTCGCAGTGAGCTGGCTGGAGGGATATTAGCGCATTTACAGCGCAGTCCCTGTTTATATAAACAGATCTTCCCACCCGGGCCGCTTTGAAAGTCGGGTCTCCAGGGTGTTAAGTACCTGAATGAGTGCCGGACCAAAGCCTGGATGAGCTCGGAAGGTGCCACCTCCGCCCCCGCCACGCCCAGTTCCCCGCCCCTCGGTGCCCCGTTACCTCCCAGAGGCTGCAGGAAGCAGCCTTAGGCATTAGCGATTGTCTGATTAGCCTAAAGTGCGGACAGATAATGGGGATTGTTGCCAGTGAATAACATCTTGGGTGGCAAGCTGTGGCCACCACCCTCTCCACCGAGACTCTGCTTCCTCCTCCTCCTCCTGGGCTGACGTGGGGCCTGGCCCCGCAGGAACGCTGGGAAGGGTGGGGGCAGCTTGGGTGTGTTTATGAGCACCCTGGAATTTATTCCCTGTTTGCTCTATTCCTCTAGCTTGTTTACTGGAGTGGAGTTTCCCGCAATTATCTGGAGAGTGATTTACAAAGCAGAGTTAGAACTCTGGAGCGCTCCCTTTCTGTTTTGGGTAAGGCCCCCAAGGACGACAAGTTCCTGGTACGCACAGAGAGGCCTGGCCCTGCCAACATATGGGCCGAGGGGTTCTAAGACCACTGGGACCCTCCACTGGGAGGCTCCAGGCACTGCCCCTACCCACTTCCCTACCTCCTTGCAACCTCAGGGGTGCTATGAAAGGAATGAGAGCCTAAGGAGAGCCTCAGATCCTCGCCTGTCTCCCCAGGCCGGCAAGACAGAGGTGACAAAGCCAAGCTATTCAGGTCCAAAGTGCCCAGCCCCACCTGGCCGCTGTGGTCGCGGTACCGGGGCTCAGCATCCAGACTCCGCAAAGCTGGACTCAGACCCATCCTAGGAGCCATGCCTAGATGGCAACGTTTCTCAGGGCGGGAGGCTACGAGGGCTTTGAGGCTTCTTTGGCGTCCTTAGATACTCTGGCGCCCTCTGTGCGCCTCAGCCCCATAGCCTTAACCTCAGTCCCAGGGCCTGGGATGTGGCCACAGCGGGTCACAGCAGCTGGCTCGTGGTCTGCATCCCTGCTCCCAGCTTTGCAGACCCCAGCGGAGCTGCCTGGCTCTATCGACCAATGGGGAGAATTAGTACGGGACCCACCCTGCAGAAAATAGGGCTCTCTGGGAGTTTCTCCTGGATCTTCTAGTCCCCATAGCCCCACCAAGAAAATGTTCAATGTAGGAGGCACAAAAAGCCAACCGACGTGGATACATTTTCTTGGCCCATAGCTTTGCCTTGGCAGAGGTTCAGCCTAGTGCCCTAGCAAGCGCTGTCTCAGAGACCTCTCGTTCCGCCACTAGTGGTTTGGGTATTTGGTTGCTTTATTTTAACGTTGGGTGCTGCACTTGGGTGACTGCACCTGAAATCCTGGCTGCTCCAAGGCTGAATGCGAACCTGACTCGAGGTGGCGGGCGTGGCCCACCTAGCCCACAGCACCCTTCCCGGGAGCTTCCCTACCTAGCGTGCCCGAGGTGCCCAGGGCTGCGCTGCGCACTGGGTGGTCGGGGGAGGCAACCCCAATACAGCCCAACTGCTAGGCTGCAGACAAAAGGGAAATGGAGCTCGACGCCCCGGACCTGTTGGAAGCATTTGTTCCAGTCAAGATTTTGCATTTGTTCAGTCCGGAATAATGCGTGATTGACGCTTGCTCACAATGAGCTTTAGCACGCTGGGATAAATCGGAGCTTGTCCGGTGTTGTCATGGTTTTCAACAGGGTTCAATGGGATTGGGAGCACGATCGACTCTGCTGGCCGTCTTTCCGCGGCCCTGGCGATAGATTTATTAGTTATGTCTTTTTAAATAAGATTAAATTGAAATGACTGTGCTGTCCTCTCTGCAGACAAAACAGGGCTGGAGCTGGCGATGGAGAGGGGACGGGTGAGTCTTGGAGAAGCCCTAGGATAGAAGCCCAACTTCAAGCCTGAATGTAGTCAGGGAGAGGCCTGTGAATGGGTTTGCATCCCAGTTCCGCCTCCAGCTACAGCTGATCACCTCATTACTCTGGCCCTTTGTTTCCTCCTTGATCAAAACTAGGTTTGGTAATTTCTATGAGTGCTACTAGTTTTAGGATCTCATTTCTCTGGATTTTTAAAAAAACCTATCTTCCTGGTGATGTTTACCTGAGGAGCCTTGAACTCCTTCCTGCATTTCTTCATTTCTCGCTCCCAGGACCCCGGCTTCAGCTTCTCTGGGATGTCCTCCTAGGAGAGCATGTGGCATCTGTTCAGTTTGCCAAGGACTCTTCGCGGGAGTGGTGTGGGGTGGATAACAGTTTTGGAGAAAGAACCAAGTCAGGAGAAGCAACAGAGAAGTCTTCCCTGGAGTGACTGACCTCTCTTAGCCTTTTAATCTATTTAACATCCTAAGACCACACTGACATGTAGAAATAAGTAAATGGCACTCTTCAGTTCTTAAGGGCCCTTCAGCATCAAATATTTGCTTTTACTCTTAGTGTTTGGCTCCAAAGCAGAGAGATTCATCCTCCATCTAGCAGTTGTGCCCTGGGGGAAGACTTGGGTCTAGTGTAAGCTCCAAATTTCACATTCCTTGGCTTGGGAACAGTGTTCCTGGGCACCAGGATATCCCAGGGATATTTCGTATTTCTTGGTTCTAGAAAATGCTGCAATTTTTCTGTGTCATCTTAGATTATATCCTCCTAAAGCATTTTTGCCATAGCCCAGTGTTCATTCTAGTTCTGTTTTGGAACATCATCTAAATTATCTCCAACAACCACAAGGGCTTGGGGCTGGGGATTTAGCTCAGTGGTTCTGCTGCCTGCCTTGCAAGTGGAAGGATCCGAGTTCGATCCCAGGTACCCAAATAAATAAATAAATAATCTCCAACATCTGGAGCCTGGGGGCTCCAGGCAGTTGTTCCATATAAACCTTCTGGGGAAATGGAGGGAAGGAGGGATAATGCCAGAATCACTAAGGAAAGGTGGCCTGTTCCTTGCTTTTCCACATCCAATAAAGTCAAAGACTTTGAAGTAGGAAAGTATTTTGATATTGGGTCAGTAGAAAAAGAGAGTGGAGCTGTTCATGAGTTTTTACATATTGGATACAACCTGTTCACAGAGTTTCTTAGATTCTTAGAATGATAAGCAAACATCTAACTAGATATTCCCAATTTCCACATGTTTGGTATTTCAGGCCCTTGAACTTATTTTGCAACTCAACATAGCTTGTAAATATTGTTACTTAATTAGGTAAGTATTTGTTTCACTATAGTTGGGTACAGTGTATTTCAGTGCCAGTAAGTGTCTTTAAGTTTAAGAGATCTATAATATGGTGAATATATTAAGCTGTCCACACTAATCATCAATTCAGAAGTCTTATCCAGAGATGATCATCTCTGCTGCATGCTTAAGAATTTAAGACTAGAAAATCCCGAAATGAAACTAAAGTATCTTGATTTTTTTGGAAGAAAAAAAAAGATTGTGTCCATATCTTGCATTCTGTTTTTAAATCCTTCCATTTTGGTTAAGTGCTTCACCAAATCCTGCAAATCTATATGGTATTGAAGAGAGGTAACATTGCAAATTCCCCTTGATAGATGGAGGGCCCTCAACTGCCCAGACATTTTTCTTTGCCTCATAGCAACTGCTGTCCCCTCTTTATCAGTATCCTGATTAAAATAGGGAAAGGAAAATAAAAATGGGCTTTTGGCACTTCCAAGGAGAAGTAGATCACTTTGCTTGGTCATAGATGGGAAGAAGAGACAGGATTTAAAATCAGACCTCTGCTTTTCTTTCTGAAAACTAGTTGCCATGATTAAATAAACATTTCCCTTTGTATGGCTAATAACTAATTGCTTAATGGTAGTCCAGGCCTGGCTGCAATTATTTCTTAGTTATATTAATAATGTATACATATAAAACAAGGAACAGCAATTACTTTCAGACTGGAAATTTAGTCCATCTTTGAAATGGGCTTTAGATTTTATTATTTGATGTCAAGTGATAAGGTTTAAACTATGCCACTGAAGTCTTACTATTGTGACTTACTATTGACTTACTATTGACCTTGTTATTGTTCCTGATCTATATGATGAAAATTTTTCTTTCCTAATGTGTTGTCTAGTTTTTTAAATAGACAGTACTTCAAAAAATATATAGAGGGCAAAATGACTTCTTGAATTAAAAAATAAATGTATTGAATTAAAGAGCCACAACTTCCATTTCCCAAAAAGCCAGTAAATAATTTTTAAAATTTTTAACTAGTTTATTATTTTATTAAATATTTCTGATCTTTCCTATGCCTTCCAATGGTATAATAAGGGTACTTATTATTATTATAGGCTTGTAAATTATAGGCTTGTACTTGTAAATTCAAACTAAAAATAAGGCAACTTGAGAGAGCAAGTTATCAAATCATATTTGTCTAGAACTGAATTTCTTATTTTTGTCTGATTTTTTTTTTTTTTTTTTTTTTTTTTTTGGTACTGGGGATTGAACTTGGGTCCTTGAGCTTGCGCAGCAGGCAGCGAAACCACTGAACTAAATCCCCGGACCTGTCTGATCTTTTTGTAAAGTACACAATTTATACGCCTTTGCTTGACGGAGGTAAAGATAGTTTCTAAAGCAGAATCCTTATTGGTGTTTACATCATAGTGGGCTAGGCCTGCAGACAGAACTCAGAGGTAGAACGGTAGAACTCCAGCCTGCAATACACTTAGTGTTACACACAGACACTAACAAGACAGGTGGACCCAGGAGCACCTGTGACTGACACTGCTCCAGAACCTCATATAGGCCTCTTACAATGCATGCTCACAACCAAACACAAACACTTCAGTTCAAGCCAATTACTATTTTTTCTTAAATGACCCATGCATTATAATGGGCCTCTTAAAAACTATATTTACTTTGGAGATCAACTTAGGAAATGTATTACACATTGTTGAGGTGAAATATTATCTCCATCTTATTTTACACCAATTTAAACTAAATGCTAGAACCAATCATTTTGGAGAAATATTTGTTAATATTTTGCGAAGAGAGTCTTCTTTTTTTTGGGGGGGGCTGGCACTTGAACCCAGAGCCTCATGTATGCTA